CTCCTACCTTTTGGGTTTGTAGTTGAGCACTTTAACCACTGTGACACCAGGTCTCCTATCTAGCCCCCCCAAGAAAATCTCCCTGAATTCATCTCCAGTTATATGAAAGTAATATGCATGTGCTAGAGATGGAAACATCTTTGAAGTCAACGATTTCTATTCTCAAGCTCAATACCTCCCCTTTCTAACAAAGGATGTCTATGCATCTGCCCCACTGCTAGGGATATAACATGAGTCCCGTACTTCTCCCCAAGCTGAAGGTAGGGCAAGCCTGTTCTGAGAGTTGAAGAGGGACCAGCAAATTTACCTAAAAACTGGCTCCTAACTTTCCAGCCCAGAAATACAAATCAGTGAACCATCCAGAGCATACTAGGTGTGTCAATAAAAACTTTTGGATGATTGAACGAGCAAATGATTGTTAGGTACAGAAAAGCCAACCAGAATTTTGCATGTTGATTCATAACATATCAAAGTGGCTAATAATCCTAAAAATAGTCTCATTAAGATAAGTGCATGAAAAGCAATGATCACGTCTTGATGAGTTTGGAATGTCATAAATACCTGCTTTATGTTTCTGAGCAATGGAACCAGTGTTGGGGTACTGAAGGAAAGGATGGAAGTTTTAAACGAGTTTTCCGTTTTGATTAGAGGAGCACTTTTCACTCTGTAATTAGGATTTCTTGGTTTGGTTCCATCTTGGATGTCTTCAGATAATGGTGCTATCATGGGATTCTGAGATAGGAGGGGAGTGAGAGGCTCTATATATAGGAAGTCTTCCCTGACACTGTCATTAGTTTTTTAATTCATAAGTAAATTCCTGTGAGATTATATCCATAGATGTTTAATAAGCAGCGTTATTAAACTTTATTCATATAGGTTCATGAGTGTGATTAACCATGCAGCATTCATATGTTGGAATTATAGATGACATTTCTTAAAATTCTCCCTCCAAACTAAAAGCTGCCAGAACTGTGAGTGGTCAGGTTTGCTCAGTCGTTCTCCACTACTGAGTTTTGCTGTTTGACAATATCTGGAGACATTTTTTGGTGTGACTGGTGGCATGTGGTGGGTAGAAGACAGTTGCTGTTAAACATCTCTAGGATGTTTATGAATGTAAATAGTACAGAGGAGGAGAAACTCTGGAATCATGCAGAAGCAAGCTTTGAATCATGCCTTCTATCATGTCCTGTGCTGGGCCTGAGGTAGTGCCTACCCACCTACTGCCCTGGAGTCTCTTCTGATTCGGTGACCCTGGGGGCCAGCGTAGAACTGCACACTAGCTTTCTGAGACTGTATCTTTATGAGAGCTGCCAGCCCTGTCTTTCTCCTTAGGAACAGCTGGTAGGTCCAAAGTGCTAACCTTGTGTAGCTCACTGCACCACTAGGACTCCTGTCTGAGGTAGGGTCACGCAGGGTATCTTGGGATTTCGCGTGAGCACAAGAGCCTTTTAATTAGTCTTCAGGGAGTGGAGGAAATGTGTGCTCAGAACAGTTCTTCCTCTGATTGAGTAGGTCTAGTCTTCCAATAAATGGAATGGGAATTTGCCTTGCAGAGTTCCAGCATCTTGCTTTTAAAGAGCTAATGGCATCTAGGGGGGCATATTACATGCTAAAAATTTCTCTCTTTTTGAAAAAAAATTATGAAATGTTAATACCATGCCACACACTGTGTATGTCTGTTTATGTATGTGTGCATAGCGGTGCATAAAAAGAAATTTCTCACCTCCACCAAGAACTGATTTCAACCCTTTGGGGATGGGATTGCCCCTTCAGTACTGCATGTTATTAGAGTAATAATGCTATGTAGTATGACTTTACAAAGAGCAAAAACCTCCCCCTAACACCTCACCCACACAGACACTGTCTTAAATCACAGTTCTCCATCACCTACAAAATATGTGTCTAGTTGCTTCTTTATGACCCACCATTACCTAAAAACAAGTTGTAAAAGATAATCAAAACATACGATTTTTAAGATTACTTTGAACAGTTTCACTGACATACCATTCACATATCATACATTTCAATAGTTCAATCACATTCATAAGAGTTGTGCAACCCACCCCCTTACAGAAGGATCGCGGGGAGGAGACAAGCCCGTCAGGGTGCAGTATAGCAATGATGAAACACACAACTTTCCTCTAGTTCTTTATAATGCTTCCTCCACCCCACTATCACAATCTCAATTCTACCTTACATATCCGGCTAGACCAGAGCATGTACACAGTACAGATAAGAGCTGGAAACACAGGGAATCCAGGACAGAGAAACCCCTAAGGACCAATAAGGAGAGTAAAGATACCAGGAGGGGAAGGGGAAGGTGGGGGAGAAAGGGGAAACCCGATCAAAATGATCTACATATAACCCCCTCCCTTGGGGACAGACAACAGAAAAGTGGGTGAAGAGAGACATTGGTCAGTGTAAGACATGGAAAAATAATGATTTATAAATTATCAAGGGTTCGTGGGGGAGGGGGAGAAAATGAGGAACTAAGGGCTCAAAGAGAAAGCAAATGTTCTGAAAATGATGAGGGCAACAAATGTTCTTGACACGATGGATGGATGGATTGTGATAAGAGTTGTAGAACCCCCAGTAAAATGATTTTTTTTAAAAAGTTGTGCAACCATCACCACTATCGATTCCAGGACATTTCTCCTTCCTTGTGCCATTGTTAGCTCCCCATTTCCCGCCCACCTCCCTGCCAGGTCCCTTTGAACTGTTCATCCCGTTGTTGTCTTAATAGGATTACCTATCCTGGGTTTCATATGCCAAATTGTGTGGATTTTAACCTGTATTTAAACATTGTAGTTACATTCTGTCGAGTCAGCCTGTAAAAAAGAAATTGAGAAACACTGCTTTACATTCCAGAAAAAAGTCAGAATTTCGAAAGTTGACTTGAGTATCAGAATGAGTGCAGCACAGACCCATATATATAGACAGTATATATATATTTTTAAAAAATCTGAAGTCCACTGCCATCAAGTTCATTTCAACTCAAAGTGACTCTGTAGGACTAACTAGAACTGCTCCATAGAGTTTCCAAGGCTGTAAATCTCTAGGGGAGTCTCTTTCTCCCATGGAGTAGCTGGTGGGTTAGCACTAGCCCAGTCCTTAACCCAGGATGCCACCAGGGTTCCTGACAGAATTGTACATACATACAAATGTGTTAAAATACATGAACATGTGATTAGATCTCAGTCTATACATATGATTATATATGTGTTTTGAATGGAAACTAAAGAGTAAAAATAAAGTCAGATTGCCAGATGTTTTCCAAAAGTACGCCATTTTACAATCTCACCAGCAGCCGTTTTCTAAGTGAAGACAGGTTACATGCTCCTGAGAGTCCCCAGCCAGATTCTCCCGTTCCCTGTGTGCTGCACAAGGCCACACAATCCCTTAACTGCAGACTACGGCTGAAACCCTTAATTGTAGGGCTTTCCCAGCCCCTCCATGACACACACACACACACTCTCTCTCTCTCCTGTTTCCAGACTCTTCTGAATCTTGCATTCCACACGGGGGCTCTTCCCAGGCCCCTTGCTCACAGAGCTCTGAGAGAGCTTGTATCCTTACTAGTGGACTTCATTCCCCAGGTCTCTCTCCTTTTTCAGATAGGCAGTCTTAAAAGTAGATGGATGGGATGCTCTCTTAACACGGGGGTTTTTTGCACAGTGATCACCTGTTTTCTATTTCAGATAGATTTTTGTATATGCAACCATCCCCACACCAAACACAGCGCTGTGATGTGTGTTTGGGGCATCTGTGCAGGGTAATCCAGCCAGCATGTGTTTCACACAGTCCCAGTGAATAGAGTTGGAGAGCCCTCCTCAGTGTCGTCAGTCAGCTATTACCAGCTTCTGTTGAGGTGATTCCAACTCATGGCAACCCGGTGTGTGTCAGAGTAGAAATGCTCTGTAGAGCTCTCAAAGGCTGTGTTCTTCGTAAAGCCCCCTTGTGGTACCGTGGGTTAAGTGTTGGAATGCTAACCTCAAGGTTGGTAGTTCAAACCTGCCAGCCACTCCATGGGGAAAAAAAAGATGAGGTTATCTGCTCCTGTAAAGATTTACAGCCTTGAAAACTGTATGGAGCAGTTCTAGTCTGACCTATAGGGTTGCCTTGGTTGGATTGGAACCAACTTGCTGGCAATAGGTGGGTTTATAATCTTTTGATGTAAAATTTCCAGGCCTTTCCTTGGAGGTAACTCTGGGTGGACTCAAGCCTCCAACCTTTGGGCTATCAGTCAAGCCTGTCAACAGCTGTACCACCCAAAGACTCCGGTTAACCATTGAACAAGAAACAACAAACCAGATGCCTTCAAGTTGGTTCTGACTCATGGTGACTGCACGTGTAGAACTGTGTGGAATTTTCAGATTGTGAGCTTTTGGAGGCTGATTGCCAGGCCTTTCTTCTGAGTCACCTGTGGCTGGGTTTGAAACACCAGCCTTTCAGTTAGTAGAGCATTTAACCATTGGTCCCATCCAGGGACTCGTAGGCAGCCATTACATGTCTTCTGATCTATTTGGATTTTCAGCCTCTCCTACATTGCTGGGGGGAGGAGGGTAACAAATCCCACATGCGTTACTCTCGGTTCGTGTGGTCTTTCCTCTTACTTGTTCTACAATGGCTTCCTTAAACCTTTGAGGACTCCTGTTTTTATCAGCTTAAAGATTTGGTACAAATGTGACTGTTAGCCCTTTCCATGCACTTAATGACAGAGCACAGTCTTCATTCAACTTGTAATTTTTCTTTGGTAATAAAAAGTCCCAACATTTTGAGCCTATTCTCACAGGTCGAGTGAGTATCTGTGCATCGTCACCGTCTTGATGCCGGGCAGGCTGCTCGTCTTCCCAGGGCAAAATACACCCCTGTGGGCCTGGCACAAAGTGGGCAGGAGTTGCTCAACAGTATTGCTGAATGGAGGAATATGTTCATTTTGTCGATGCAGTGCATATCCCACACCTCACTTATGAGCTCTGCACTAACTGTGTTCTCTTGTGTAGGCTATAGGCTGTACTCTGAACTGCAGTTGCCCAAGTTTCAAGCCAGGGAAGATAAATCACCGGCAGTGTGAGCAGTGCAGACATGGATGGGTGGCGCATGGTAACACTGCTCTCTCTCTCCTGCCTTGGCTTGTACTGTTCCCGCTATACGCTTGTAGCTACTCAGGGCCTGATTTATCATTGAAGCTCGGCAGCTAACATTTCTAAGTGACTGCCTTGTGCCAGGTAAACAGGCTCCGTGTTTTACATGTTATCGTTGTTAATCTCACCATCCTGTGGTGTTTCATTAGCTCTGATCTCAAGATACAAAATGGGTAACTCGGCACTACTGTTTTACTGGCCCAGGGCTACCAAGGAAAATGCAGAACATCCAGTTAAATTATCATTTCAGATGAAACAATAAACAGCTTTTAGTACAAGTATGTCCCATTGACTTATCTTTAGTATAAGTATATGCCACATTCCGAAATTCGGATTTAAATCTGACTGTCTCTGACACCAGCCACATGTGGCTCCTGAGTACTTAAAGCGTGTAACGGAAGAAGTGAGTTTCTCACTCTCGTTAACATGGCTGTAAAGTCACATCATCTTATGTGGCTTAGTACTGTTGTATTAGGCTCACCCACAAACATGTCAGAGCCCCTAGCCCTTGCTCTTGACCTCCAGCCTGTGGTCTTCCTGAGAGCCTAGCCTCTTGATTGCCCACTGGCTCCCTGTGCTTTTCCCCCTCTACTGCTTCCCAACTGATGCCAGCCCGCTGCTTTAGAGGTGCCACATTAAAGGGAAAAATACAGCACTCGGTCTAGTACATTAATCTTAGCAGCTTTTGTGAATGACCTAATAGATATTAAAGCTATTAATTCTATGCATGTTTGTGTGTTGTTTTTTTTTTCCTGTTGGGAGAGGTCTCTGAAAGTTAGCTATAGTCTGCATCTTAATCTATGTCTTATGTGGTGCTTCTCTTTCATGTGTAGCCTTCTAAATTATATTTCTTCCTTTTGACTTTTTAGCCCTGAGTAAGCTGAGGATCCCCCCTTTGTATCCAGCAAGCCAAGTGGAGATTGTCCAGTCTAATGTGGTGTTTGATATTAGCAGCCTTATGCTCTATGGAACCCAGGCCATCCCCGTTCGCCTGAAAATCCTCCTCGACCGGCTCTTCAGTGTACTGAAGCAAGATGAAGTCCTTCAGATCCTCCACGCCTTGGACTGGACCCTTCAAGATTACATTCGTGGATACGTGCTGCAGGTACAGGGGCTGTTCCCCAAGAGCTTCTTATGAAGCGCCTGTCCAGGTAACTGAGGGAGCCCAGTTGCTGACCAGGACAACCACCATTGGTTGTCCTTCCCTTTAATACTGTTTTTAGTGACTTGCACCCCTACCTCATCTTCTAGAAGGAAGTCCAGTGCTTGACCCGAGATTGCTGTGAAACTTCAGAGTATGAGAGTTTTTTAATTGTCTCTGTTCTGGGCTTCACAAAGCCAGCTCTTCCACAGTGAGCCACAGGCTGGCTCCATCTCAGGGGCTACCTCTTTTCCGTGGTTATTCCAAATGACATACTGACACAGACTTCCTGGGTGGTGCAAAAGGTGGTTAACACTGGAAGGTTGAAGGTTCCATTCCACCCAGAGAAGCACCGTTTTTGCTGAAAATTAGCTATGAAAAATCCTATAGAGCCCTACTCTGGTATATACTGTGAATTGGAATCAACTCATTGGCAACTATTTGCTGAGAGATAGGGACACCAGATACTGTAGCAAATTATATTGAGGGTTTGGAGACACTGCCTCTTCTTCTCCCATGGAACAGCTGGTGGGTTTGAACTGCTGACTTTTTGAGGTTAGCCGCTCATCACTCTCCTCACGACTCCACCAGGGCTCCTCATCTCATTAAGATGAGCACCAATAATAAATATTAACTAACATATCCTCACCTGGGCTCTTTCCATATCTCAGTCATCTTATGAGCTAACACATATATGATCCCTGTTTTTAGGTTGAAGAAAACAGGCTCAGTGCTTGAAATATTGTAGGAAGTCACTCAACTAGTATGAGGCAGGCCCAGAATCAGAACCCACTTCTTCCTAGCTCTACACACCCCTAGTCTTTCCCTGAAAACATGTCTGCAGCAAACACAAGTGAGTGCAGGGCCCCAGCAGCTAGAAACCACCTTTTATGGAGAGTAGCATTATGATCTTACAGTATGACGTGGATCAATATTTAATGATCCTGATAGTCTTGCTTTCTAGTGTTAGGATTAAAAATATGGAATCAATTACCTTCAACCTCGATTGCATGAAAAATGTATGATGCTACATTCCTCATCATCTTTGAAACTCTTACATGCACTGTGAAAATTCTCAGTAGGCCATCAAGTACATGTCCTGTGATAAAATATTTATTGTAGTTTTTAGGAAAAGTTAGACCTGGCTAGAGTCTGAAAGATCTCCAACACTCCAGTGTAATTACAGCTCTGCTTTGTGAAGCGGGCCGCTGATCGATACAGGCTCATTTGTTTTCTGATGTTAGTTGCTTAGGGAGATTATTAGACTTGCAGCAAATGAACACTTGAGCCAGAGCTAGGCCTGACTGCTCGGTTTATGCTCTTTAGATAAAGAAGTTACTGCCATTCAGATTACACATATTTTCATTATTTTTGAGAAAATAATTATGCCAGGTAAAAGACAATGTCACTTTGGTGGTGCAGGTGATTAAGCACTCAGTTGCTAATCTAAAAGGTAAGCTGTTCAAGCCCACCAATGCTGCTCCTTGGGAGAAGGATGTGGCAGTCTGCTTTCGTAAAGGTTTTAGTCTTGAGCCGCCCCAATGGGGCACTACTCCTCTGTCCTATGGAGTTGCTCTTGAGTTGGAATTGACTCAATGGTGCTTAGCAACACAACTCAATTGAGTTGAAATTCGGTAGACAGTAAGCACCACATTCCTCTAAGTTGGACTTAAGAAATAAATCATTTTATTTCTCTAATTTGGATGACATGTAGGGCCACCACTGTGTAGTTTCCTCTCCTGATAGAGTTTCTGGTGCAGGGGAGTGGATGAGTGGAGCTGGTGTCATCAAACCATGTGCTCATCCAGAAGGGGAACCTTTTTCTAACAGGCATACAGGCACCCTGGAGGCTAGTAAGGGTCTTTTCCTTAGCGGGGCTGGGCTACTAATTCGACCATACCATTTAATTCGGGTTTGGGTTTGGGTCTAGGATGCATCAGGAAAGGTTTTGGACCACTGGAGCATCATGACCAGCGAAGAGGAAGCAACCACCTTGCAACAGTTCCTCCGTTTTGGGGAGACCAAATCCATAGTCGAGCTCATGGCAATTCACGAGAAGGAAGAGCAGGCCATCATCATACCACCATCCACAGCCAACGTGGACATCCGGGCCTTCATTGAGAGCTGTAGCCACAGGAGCTCCAGCCTCTCCACTCCTGTGGACAAAGGAAGCCCCAGCAGCACACATCCCTTCGAGAACCTCATAAACAACATGGCTTTCATGATGCCTTTCCAGTTCTTCAACCCTGTGCCTCCTGCTCTGCTAGGCTCACTGCCTGAACCGTTTCTGCTGGAGCAGAGTCAGGACTCCAAGCAGCAACTCCACGAATCCTTCCCTGACAGCAGCTTCTTGACTTCCACTTCCAGCCCATTTCAGGTTGAGAAAGAACAGTGCTTGAACTGTCCAGAAACTGTTACTCAGAAGGAAGACAGCACCCATTTAAGTGACTCCAGCTCATACAACATTGTCACTAAGCTTGAGAGGACACAGTTGTCCCCCGAGGCCAAACTGAAGCCAGAGAGGAACAACCTGGGCACCAAGAAGGGCCGGGTGTTCTGCACGGCCTGCGAGAAGACCTTCTACGACAAAGGCACCTTGAAGATCCACTATAATGCTGTGCACCTGAAGATCAAGCACAAGTGCACCATCGAAGGGTGCAACATGGTGTTCAGCTCCCTGAGGAGCCGGAACCGCCACAGCGCCAACCCCAACCCTCGCCTGCACATGCCCATGAACAGGAACAACCGGGACAAAGATCTGCGGCACAGCCTGAACCTGGCCCGCACTGAGAACTACAAGCGCCCATGCTTCCTGGGGACGCCTCCAGACTGCAGGCCTCTGCCTGGCTACCCTGCCTCAGGAGATGACTCCAAAGGCCAGCCAGCCTTCTCGAGCCTCGGGCACAATGGTGTGCTGTTTCCCAACCTCAAGACGGTACAGCCAGTCCTTCCTTTCTATCGCAGCCCAGCCACTCCAGCTGAGCTGGCCAACACGCCTGGGATGCTGCCTTCTCTCCCACTGTTGTCCTCCTCCATCCCAGAACAGCTGGTTCCCAACGAAATGCCATTTGATGCTCTTCCCAAGAAGAAATCCCGCAAGTCCAGTATGCCCATCAAAATAGAGAAGGAAGCTGTGGAAATTGCCAACGAGAAGAGGCACGCCGCCCTCAGCTCAGACGAAGATGCCCCCCTTCAGGTGGTCAGTGAGGACGAGCCAGAAGCCTGCAGCCCTCAGTCTGACCAGGCGCCCGAGGAGCAGCACCTTCCGTCAAGCTATGTGGGGAAGCCTCTCGCAGAAGGAGAGGGGTCCCACCACTTCAAGTCGGTGATCGAGCCCAGGGGAATCATCCTCCGAACCCCCGAGCAAGACACATACAACATGGAGAAGGAGCCTGAGCGGAAGCCAGTGGTGCCCTTGGTGCCAAGAGAGGTAGAGGACAATGGCTGTGAGCCCCTTCTCCCCGCTGGCATGGAGCCCCTCGGGCCCTTTCCTGACTACATCAAGCTGCAGCAGCGACTGCTGGCCGGAGGCCTCTTCAGTGCGTTGTCTACCAGGGGAATGGCATTTCCTTGCTTTGAAGATTCTAAAGAGCCAGAGCATGTGGCTCAGCATGCACTAGCGAGGCAAAAGAAAGACAGTCGTTTCCAGTGTGACATCTGTCAGAAGAGCTTTAAAAATGCTGCCAGTGTGAAAATGCACCACAAGAACATACACAGCAAAGAAGCACACCTGTGCATGGTTGAGGGCTGCAGCACCACCTTCCCATCCCGCAGGAGCAGAGACAGGTAAGGTATCCTTGGTAACCATTTCTTTTCCATGATGGTTCTTAAACCTGAAGGCTGCAGGACCTCAGTCCCCATCCTGTCCCCACCACCACACACACACACTTCCTGAGTGCCTGCTTTCAGCTAATCAGGTGAGGCCTACAGTTTGATTGTGGTGGTTTGGGGACCACCAACTTTTGAGAAATACAGTTGGTTGTACAAGCCTGTGTTCCATGTTCCGAGGGCAGTGGCTTTCATAAATGTTAAGAAGGAGAAACCGTATACCCACACACATACCTGGACCGGGCTCTTAGCGACACGCTTATCTTTAGTGAAGCAGATAGAGCACGGGTGGTCCTGAGGAATACCACCAGGCTACCCCCATCAGTGGACCAACCCTTCACTTCCACCCTTCTAAGTGGCAGTGGGGCCATTAAGTCAGAGTTATGAAGGAGGCAAGTGAGTTCTCGTGGCATGCTGGTTAAGCACTTGGGTGCTGACAGAAAAGTCAGCAATTTGAACACAAGCCGCCAGTCACTCTGCAGGAGAAAATGCTTCCATAAAAATGGCAGCCCTGGAAGCCCTATGGCACAGTTCTACTCTGTTAACATAGGGTTGCTCCGAATCAACTCAATGGCAACGAGTTTCCTTTATAGGAAGACATCATCATCTCAGTGAGATTAGCCTCAATATTTGTGGTATTCTAAATTATAAGGCTTATAGAATTCAAGGTACTTTTTAAATTTTTAATATTTTTTATACCCAGCTTTTAGACACAAGCTTCTCCCACCACAGAAAAGCATCTAGCATACTATATGAAAACTCCCACCCAGGCCCAGTAGTACAGCACTCAGCGTGCATTCCCCTAGAATCTGCAATAGAGATGGTACCATTTTAGATGGGGCTTTGTGGGCAGGCCGGGGCCACCACCTTGACTGGGAATCCAAGAAGAGAAGTGTGTTGACATAAAGAATACTGACTGTATGCCTGGAGCAGCTGCTACTGCCAACAGCAGGTACTAGGGCCCACCCAAAGGGGACTGAGCACCCTGTATGCTAATTTATCCAACAAACAGGCACGGAGTCCTTTTCTATGCCAAATTCAGGGGCCATGCCCCTTACCCTTAAAGACAGGCCCTCACTGTGCTGGAGACAAAGTAGTCAACAGGCCATTGCAGCTCTATGTGGGAGTGCTAGGATGGGGCAGTGTAGACTGCTGTCACAACCCGAGGGTACCTGGAAGTGGGGGAAGGCTTCCTAGAGGAAGGAGTGTGTCTAAACCAGCAACTCTCAAATATTTGGTCTGAGGACTCCTTTACAAATTCTGAAAACCTGAGGCCTTCCCACTACAGCTTTCGTATGGGAAAATAGGGGAACAAGCTGTTACCTTTTAATTCAATCTTTCTATGAACTTTTTAAAGGGCCATCATAACTGCCAATATTTACTGTTTTAAAAACTAAAACGGGGGTGGGGGTGGGGTGGAGAATCCATGTATTTTATAGCCCTTGAAAATAATAGTAAACCTATTTATATTAAATAACATTTTTTTATGGAAAAATGACCACATTCTCCAAAATAAAATTTTAGTGAGAGGAGTGGCTATGTTTTACATTTTTACAAATGTCTTTTAAGTTCTAGCTTAAGCCGAGACAGCTGGAATTTTGTATCTGCTTCTACTTTCAGATTGTCACAATAGCACAGTGTGTTGTTGCTGGAAAACTCCACTGTAGGTGCCTGAGGGAATGACAGTGAAAAGGGCAGATAATGTCTTTGTATCAGTATGAGAGTAGCATTGGCTTTGGGGGTGACTAGGGGTTTTTCAGACCCTTGATCTCTACTTATTTAAGCAGATGCCCTGGGAGTTTTGGAGAGAGAGGTAGAGGTTGATGGGGGAGAGAGAGAGAGAAACAGGCATGGGACAGAGTGTCAGCAAAGTCCTGGAAGCAGGAAGCCAGGCACATGGTCCAGGTGGCTTTTTCAGTTGTGACAGTCACCAGTCTTAGGGGCCATGATACCTCAGGAAAAGTATTGGGTTGGGCTTTCAAGGCTTGAGGGTGGGGGTGGAGAGAGGAATCTACAAGTTAGTTCTTGGCATTCCTGGGGCACTTAGGAGTTACGCACAGGACAGCGGGGCCCTTTCTGTGCAAGGTTCCAGTAAATGTGCTTGTCTGACTGTTTTTAACCACTTGTGTGAACTGGAATCCATATGTCAGTCTAGTGTCTGGTTTTCTGCTGACATACCCCGCCCACTCCAGCCCAAAACGCTGACATAATCACAGGGCAAAGTTTCCCGTTGAGAAGCGCTGCTTGCAAAGTGGGTGATCTGGGAGTACCCTTCAGACTGTGGCCGGAAAAAGAAGGGGGGGGGGGAAGAGAAAAGTTAATAAAGAGTAGATTTTATACTTTTTTTTAAAATATGATAGAGTTCCACCCTCATACACACAGGTCTTAGGAGATTTCTGAGAAAATTCAATTCTTAGTTATTTTGCTTAAGGTGCTTTTTTGGTTATTTTTCTCAGTTTGACCTTGGGCATGTCTTCTGATATATATTTGGGGAGATACATTTCTTCCGTGATATTCTCCTGCCCCTTTTAAGATTGTACCCCTTAGGAAAGGGCTGTTTTTTCCCACCTGACATTAGCCAGGGAATATCTGAGCAAAGTCACTGATGGACAAGTTATATCCAAATGATATCGTGTGAGTAAAAGGCTTGGGCCATAATGGATACTCATTATCTTACCTTCAGAAGTAATCATTGGGTAAAAGATTGGTGGTGTGATCACAGTGCTGCATTTGCAAAACTCCTGTCTGGTATATAGTGAAATGTTGCAGATAGGCACTGGACTCTGCACATGTGTGCATACACACACGTACACAGTTTCTAGCCAGTCAGGTGTTCACCGACAGTTATAGAACTGAGGCTATGAGCTTGCACACAAATGCTCCTTAGAAATGTGATGCAGACCACAGACCTACCTTTACATTTTCTAGAGGCCACATCAGAAGTTCTGATGGCACAGTGGTCAAATTACATGGCCACCAACCAATAGGTTGGCTGTTCAAAACCACCAGCAGCTCTGACCTAGGGATCATCTGCTTCTATGAAAACCTACAGCTTTGGAAACTCTTGTTCTGCTCTGTCCTTATGCGAGTCACTAACCGTATTTAGAAAAAATCAAAAGGAACAGTGAAATAACTTTAAATTACTTAATTCAGTATATCCAAAATCTTATCATTTCAATAGGTTACAGCCACACTTTTAAGTGCTCAGTAGCCATGTAAGACTAGTGACAAGTTATTTGGACATTGCACTTCTAGGACAGACTATTTCCTGACCAGTTAACCAGTTTCCACGGAGTGGAATCTGCTTGGGACAGCTTCACATGTGTCAGTAGGACTGTCTCCAGAAGGTTTCCAACGGCTGAACTTTTTCAGCAGTAGATCACCAGACCTTTCTTCCGAGGCACCCCTGAGTAGAACCTCCAACTTTCTGGTGTATTCCACCTTTGGACTCCTCGTTGCATTAAAATGAAGTCTTGTGCTTGGTTTCCAGGAGACTGACAGATTTTTTCGGGGATCTCCCAATTCTAATGGCCCAGTTGAAGTAGTCTAGTCATTCTTGCATGTAGATGAGACACAGGAAGTTGCCTGTCAATCAGATGGTAGAAACTAAGGGGATCTGCGTAAGTCTCCTAGTATACAACCCGTTGGTGTCATTGTGACTGCTAACTTCTGATGGGAGTGGGCTAGTGAACCCTAAATATTCATTGCATCCCCCCAGCGCCTAAGCCCCTTACCATCACTTCTCATGTCTTGAGAATTTTTCCTGGTGTCTACTTAGTCGCTTCATTCACAGTGATGACTATTGCTAAAGCAGCAGGTCGACCATTACTGACCATCTTCATCTTTTAGGCACAGTTCAAACCCAAACCTCCACCAGAAAGTTCTGACCCAAGAAGCACTGGAGAGCACCGAAGACCATTTCCACGCAGCCTACCTTCTGAAAGATGTGGCTAAGGGGGCCTATCAGGACGTGGCTTTCACACAGCAAGCCTCCCAGACATCTGTCATCTTCAAGGGAACAAATCGGATGGGCAGTCTGGTTTACCCAATGACCCAAGTGCACAGCACCGGCCTGGAGAGCTACAGCTCTGGCCCCCCAAGTGAGGGCACCATCCTCGATTTGAGCACTACCTCGAGCATGAAGTCAGAGAGCAGCAGCCGTTCCTCTTGGGATTCCGATGGGGCCAGTGAGGAGGGTAGCATGCTGATGGAGGACAGTGATGGGAACTGTGACGGCTCTGGCCTGGTCCCTGGGGAAGATGGCTATCCCATCTGCGTCCTGATGGAGAAGGCTGACCAGAGCCTGGCCAGCCTGCCTTCTGGGTTTCCCATCACATGTCACCTCTGCCAGAAGACATACAGCAACAAAGGGACCTTCCGGGCCCACTATAAAACCGTACATCTCCGCCAGCTCCACAAATGCAAAGTGCCCGGCTGCAACACCATGTTCTCCTCTGTGCGCAGTCGAAACAGACACAGCCAGAATCCCAACCTGCACAAAAGCCTCGCTGCCCCTCCAAGTCCCCTCCAGTAGCAAGGTGGGAGGCCGAGTGTGCTCGGATGCAGTCATTCTCATTCAGGAAGGTGGTGTAGTCCGTTGTCCAATAACTTTGTTCAGCACCATCTGGGCAAGCCAGGCTAAAAGCATTTGATTTGATCTGAGTTTTCCACACTAGGTTGAGTGAAAGGAAAGTCTTGTGGGAAGTTGGCATTGAGAGGCAGCCTTTCCAAGTATTATTTTTGTTAGCCCCAGAGGTTGTTTTGTTGTCTTTTTTTTCCCCCTCACCCCATGAACATAAAGAAAACTTGCAGAAACTCCGTTTTTCCCAGGTTTGTTTACATGATCCCTGCAGATCAGCATTTGAGGGGGCCAGGACCTGGAGGGAAAGGGAAGCTTGCAGTATTACCCATCAAGTATGTGTTACGGAGGAAGTCTACAGAAGAGTGAGAAACCAACCCCAAGGAACCTACTTTCTGTTCCTTCTTTCAGGAGGATGGACACGGGTTTGGCTTAAGGGGGAAAATGACATTTTGAGGCCATTCCTCCATTTGGAGTAGGGAATTGCTTTGCTCTTTTTCTTTCAATTCTAAAGGTCTCGTGTTACTCCAGGGAGTACTCAGAGGAAGCAGGTTGGCCTCTTACACATTCCTTGTTCATTCTTCATCTGTAAACAAGTTCAAGAGCTAGGGGAAGCACATTTCATACGTTTCAACAGTAGTCATCTTCAATTTGATTCACAGATAATTTTGTGATACTGTTTCATTGGTGTGGGTGCGGAGTGCGGGCCGGTGTGTGGCGGCACACCCACACTGCTGTCGAGAAAGGAGACACCCATCAGTCCGGTGAAACAGCCGCCTCCTAAAATGGGGCATTTAGCAGATCTCAGAGCCTATGGTTAGTAAAAAGAAATTGAAGTTTGTATTCAGAGTTCAAATCCACTACCTTTTAAATTCATGGTTGATTTAAAGTCACAAAAACATTCCAGAAAACGTTGAGGGTTGGAAGAGAGCGTAATCCTCTGGCATAAACGTTTAAAAAGCCAGTGACCTACTGCAGATTATTTCAATTACTTTTTTGTTTGTTTGTTTGTTTTTAAATAAATGTGACATCTTTAATACTTTGCTTGAAATGAGATGTATCTCTCAACTGTTTTGTTACCCAGCTGTTTAATATTCCAGTTTCCCCAAAGTAGAAAAATGTGTATACGAATGAGTTTTCTATGATTTAATAAAGATAATATGACACCTTTATTTGTTTAAAAAGGCAGCTGTTTGTTAAAGTGGTTTTGTCACCTGGTTTCTTTTGTAGGAGCATGTGTACATAGATGTGCACGCGCACACAGACTGATTTTGTTGTTAGGTGCCGTCAGGTCAGTTCAGCATATGGTGACCCTGTGTGCAACAGCTGAACCCCACCTGCCCTGCGCCACCCTCAATGGTTGTGCTCGAGCCCATTGTTGTCTTGCTGAGGGTTGTCTTCTTTGCTGACATTCTACTTGACCGAGCATGATGGCTTTCCCCGGGGACTGGTCTCTCTTGGTAGCATGTGTGAAGCACGGGAGACAGTCTCTCCATCCTCAGTTCTAAGGAGCATTCTGGCTGTACTTTTCCAAAACAGAATTGTTTATTGTCTGGCACTCCATGGTACTTTCACCAACACCATAATTCAATCGCATCAATTCTTTCATTGTCTACCAAGGATTTTACAGAGCTAAAATCCCAAGGCAGGGTGCCTGGTGGACAGGGAATGACACCAGTGTTTCTAGGGCTGCTTTAGCCAAAGTATAAGTAAATGGCTTTGAAGACCATAAAATTGCCTCACAGAGGCTAGAAGTCCCAACTCAAGGCATTGCGTCTAAAAGAGGGTCCTTCTTGGTAACCCTGGACAGTTAGTGCCTTGTAGCCAGATCTTCACATTACCTTCTGCCCGTATATGTCTTAAAAAATAAGACCACTCAGAAGGGAGTATGTTTAGGATTTAACGTACTCTGGTGTGGCCTCTTTAGCGTACATAATAAACTTCCATCTCCAAACAGGGTCATGTTCAGTGAGGGACTAGGACTACCCTTCACTTGCGTGGGGGGTAGACAATTCCTAACAGTAACTGCTCCAACCTCCAGGAAGGAATTACAGCAATTAATAAGTTCATAAAGTGATTATTGAAATGAAAGAATATTGACCTTCCATGAAGGAAGAATATGAACATTGATGTTAAAATATACTGTGCTATCAAAGGCAAGTCTTAGCGAATGTTCAAAAGACAGTGTAATATTTAATCCTCTTGCTTAAGTGCATAGTGTCAAACCCTCACACAGGTTGTTATGACTCATCTGTTTTATATATGAAGTCATGATCCCATCTAGCCATGCCCCCCCCCTTCAGTGGTGACTGTTTACATGTCATTGGAAGGAAAGAAGTCAACAGAGAGGAGGTGTCTCAACCTGAGGTAAGTCACATCCCAACCTACTCCAGGCCATGGCACCTCTTGCCTGAGTGACTGCAGTGGCCACCTACCCGGTTTCCTTGCTCCACTCTTAGTACAGTGGCCAGACCTTAGGGTCTAAGATGTCAAACAGGCCAAGAAATGTCCCAGTGGCTTTCCAGAACAATACAGTACTCTGAAGACATGATCCCACACCTTGCTGATGCCTGCTTCCCCATCTCTTCCCATGCCACCTTTGTGTGTGTGGAGTGGGGTGGAATCATAACCCATTAGCTTATTCCTCCTTTCCCTCCAGTAGTTCCACTTTCCACTTTGCAAGCTCTTCTCCTACCAGCGCCCCATAGTCACCCTAGCTGACCTTCTACTGTCCAAAGAGTGAGATGGGTGTACCATCAGCTTCTCCATTGCCCACCACCTCCCTGTCAGTGGATCTGAATTCACCTCCATCTGAGAATGTACTTCGTGCCTGGCAATCATGGACTGTTAACAGCTGCAAACCTCTGAGATCATGACCAATACTCTCCTGCACCCTCCCTTCCATATGTTGGCCACACATCTGTCAGGCTCTTCCTAGGCTCAACATTGAGGGCACTGTGTTTCCCTAGCTCAACCTTTCTGGTTTTACCCACTTGTGTGGGGGGTCGGCTATGTTAAGTATGGTCCCCTGAGGGGCAGGCGCTGACAAGACTAACTGAGGTTTTTTTTAATAACAAACATCTATGACATAAAAGAGGAACGGAAGACTGGGAGAGCTGCCAGCCAGTGCAGATCTGACTCCGAGTAATGGAAAGGGGTGGCAAGGTTGGGTGGAAGTGCCCAGGACTGCTGTGCAATTGTCTAAGGAAGGCCCAGCAAAGCCACCACAGACCGCCAAGACAGTCCTGTGTTTTCCAGGGAAGGGGTTTGACTTGGAAATCTTCAGTCATTTGCTTTCAGCGGCCCAGGGCAAGTACAGCCTCACTGTAAAGCGGTCAAGGTTGATTCACACCTACTTTATTTCCCACTGGAGTCCGAAGAAGGATTCCTATTCTTTTTGAAGGTTGATGTTCTGCTGCCTTCAGGGATATTTGCTCCGTCATTTCTTCCCTCATTCATTTTCAGAGATATTTGCTCCATCATTTCTTCCCTCTTTCATTTTCAAACGTGACCCTTCTGGGACCAGCCTGCAACACTCAGATCTCTCTCATCAGCAGGACTGAATGAAAGAAAGCGCCCTCCGGGCAGTGCTGATCCTTTGGGGGATTATTCTCTCCTCCTTGTGAAATAGCCTCAACATAGGAGGTGTTGCTTCTTCGCCTCTCCCCTAACCAATGAGCTCTTTGTTGTTGCTCTCACCAGGGTTCCCAGTGACTTCCTGACGGCCATAACCAAAGAGAATCAAAGATCGTGGTTCATCTTGTCTCACGCCTTAAGTATTGGCATCCATTGGTCCCAACCCTGCCCTTTTTCTCCTCACTGCAGGCTGCTGTATTCCATCAAGTTCATGGTCAACTTATAGCAACCCCATAAGACAAAGGAGAACTGCCCTGTATGGTTTCCTGGGCTGGGGTTTTAGGGAACACATCACCAAGTATCTTTCCTGTGGAGCCACGGAGTGGATTCTAACCACCAATCTTGAGATTAGCAGCCAAGTGCTTAACCACTGTGCCATCTAGGCTCCTTATGTGCAGGCCAGTGCCTCTAAGTCTACACTCCAGCAGGGCTCTCCCAGAGCTGCCATTTCAATGGGCAACTGTCTGCTGAATATCGTGAAATCATCTTCCACAGTAATAAGCTCCTGGGATCAACGGCCTAAACTCACTTTGTTACCACCCCCCAAGCCAATATTTTCCTCCTCCTCCTGTTTCCCTTTGAATGAGGGAATGATACCATCACCTGACCAACCCAAAACCAAAACACCAGGGGGCAGTATCAGGTATGGTTAAGAACATGCCTCAAGCATGGCATATTGGTATATGATTGGGGTGTTTTTGAGGGGAGCTAATCTACTGGTGAAGCACTTGGTGGCATAGTGCCACCTCTTTAGGAGAAAGATGGGGCAGGCTGCTCCTCTTATTACTTACAGGCTCAGAAACCATAAGTAGTAATTCAACTCTGTCCTAGCTGGTTGCTATAAATCATTGGAAGGAAAGAAGTCAACAGAGAGGAGGTGTCTCAACCTGAGGTAAGTCACATCCCAACCTACTCCAGGCCATCGCACCTCTTGCCACTTGATGGCAGTACAGTTAATCCACTCATAAGGGGCCTTGACGGCACCATAAGTTAAGCTTTGGACTGCTAACTAAAAGAGTTACAGCTTCCTCTGTCAGAGGCGCCATGAGTTGGAATTCAGTGGCAGTGGGTTTGGTTTGGGGTAATCTGTGTGGAACCAACTTTTGCCCGATTTCTTAAAATCTGCCTCTATTAGGAAAGTTTAGGTCACTGATTCTTTTGTCATTTTAACCACTGTGAAGTATACGGTGGGTTTATGTTCTTGGAGTTGTGCAACCATAATTTTAGACTAGTGCATCACCTCAAGCAGATAGCTACGGCGGCACCGTTACAGTCACTCCTCACCCTCTCTTCCCAGCCTCTGCCCGTCACTTCCTGTCCATGCTGTGCCCACTCCGGACACTTCATATCAATAGAGTCCTGTGACGCGTGGCCTTTTGTGTTTGGCCTCTCACTCAGCATGATGTTGTCAAGGTCCATCTATGCTTAGTATGTATCAGGTGTCAATACTACCTTCACTTACGAGTGAGTCATGATCTCTTGTGCAGGTGAACCACAGTTGGTTTAATATCCATCCACTTCTTGTTTACTATGAATAGGGCTACTGTAAACATGCCCGTACAACATTTCTCATGGGCAGACGCCTGGAAATGGAATTGTCGAACCACACACTAGCCCTCTGCTGAGCCTTGGAGGGGACTGCCTACTGTTTGCAAGGTCACGGATTCTTAATCACGGACCTGTGCTCTGGAATCACCGTTTTCTGGGTCCTGACTGCAGTTTGTTATCATTAATTTACTTTATGGCCTGCACATGGGGCATGTTAAAGCTCTCCACGTGATTCTCCCCAGCCTGAGTTAACAGCATCTGATAGAACAAAAAACAAACAATGACAACAAGAACAAACTGGGGTTGAGTTGATTCCAATTCACAGCAACCTGTATAGACGGGTTTCTGAGGGTGTAAATCGGTGTCTTCAAACTACGGCCTGCATGCAGCCCACCAGGTGTTTTTGCCCCGTTTGTTTTTTACTTCAAAATAAGATATGTGCATAGAAATCTGTTCATAGTTTTTTTTTAAACTATACGTCAGCCCTCCAACGGGTCTGAGGGACAGTGAACTGGCCCCTGTTTAAAAAGTTTGAGGACCTCTGTTCTAAGGAGTAGTTGGTGGGTTTGAACTGCTAACATTGTGATTATCAGCCCAATGCCTAACTCAACAGTGCCCCCCAGGGCTCCTTTTAATCAGCTGCTTGATCATGAGAATCTCTGTCCTTTTCCTGGGTGGTACAGTTTGTACTCAACTACTACCTTAAAGGTTGGTGGTTCAAACCCACCCAGTGACACCATGAGAGAATGGCAGTTCTATCCTGTAGCACATGGAGTCACCACGATTCAGAATCAACCGCACGGCAATGGCTGTGTGCGCCATCGAGTCCTTTCTGGCTCATAGTGATCCTATAGGACAGAGTGGGAATGCCCTTTGGGGTTTCCAAAGCTGTCCATCTTTATGGGTTCAGACAGTCTCATTTTTCTCCTAAGGAACCGCTAGCTAGTGGGTTCAAAGTATTGATCTTAGCAGCCCAGTGCCTGCCCCA